AAGAACTGGCTATGTGTACAAAGCCTTAGTCTCTAAGCTCATTTTCTTATATTCCAAAACCTGTACTCTGATATGTTCAGAATATTTTATTTTAATAAAATATTTTGTCTCACAACAGATCTGCTCTACTTTTGGGTCCCTTTTCAATAAATTCTTCGACTACATGAAAGGTTTTGAGTAAAAGGAAAATTATTTCAAGGTTCTGTCAAGTTCCAAGTTTTGCAGATTTAAAAGAAAGTTCTTAAATCATAAACATTTATTTTGTTTAAAGCATCTAATTTATTGCGGTAGTAGCTGATTGCCTAAAGGCTGGTTTTTACACTTTGGTAATTAATGAAATTACTTAGATATGTGACATTGTTTCATATAAATACAAAAAATGTTCATTATGCAACTCCATGGAATAATTACCTTAATTCACTTTGTAAATCAGGTATAATTTAAGGTTCATTTAAAACAAACAAGGGTAGTTTTTTGCATATCCGAGGTGTTACTATTATTGTGAGGCTTTTCTAAAAATTCTGAAGTAATTAGTCAACAAATGTATAACAGGGAGAGATTTTGACTGCAACATTTAGGGCTTCTTCCAGCTGAAATTCACAAACAATTACAGAAAAAAATATTTAGCTTACTTTTTACTGGTTTTTAGAACAACAAAAGCCAACAACAACAACAACAACAACATATACTGTATGTAATGTTGGAATAAAATTGGCAGCATTTCAGATGTGCAAAACCCTTGGAAATCATGTCCTAAAGCACTTTAAAGTGCTGAAGATCCTAAATGCAAAGAATGGCCAGGCAACATTCTGTTTCATCTAATGTTGTTTTTGTTGTTTGTTTCACAGTGATGAGTATTTTTGCTCCGCTGAAGTGGCAGCAATGTTGCATTGATCAAGTGATAAAAGGCTGAATCCAACAATACAAAAAGCTAAAATCAAAAAGGTTGGAACCTTGATGTTGTATTTGTTGTGTTGGTCAAAGCAGTCGATGGAATCACTTTCATGTATGTGGACACAGAAACTAACTACTGCTGGTAATGAGGGCTTAAAATTGGGTTGAGGAGGATTTTAAAGGAGCAGTATTCTGTGTTTTCCAGTCACATAGTGCAATTTTATAGCACAATCAAGTAACTGCCTTAAGTTGTTAGAAAAATGCTATGTGTATCAAATATGGCTTAAGAAATGTTACTTTCTTAAAATCATGTCTCTGTCACAACGTGGCTCCTCTATAAACCCTCCAACAATGTGTTTTTTTTTGTTTGGTTGTTTTAGTAGCATTTCACTGAGAAGTAGCTCCTATAAACAGCTCGGCTGAGTCACAGTTCCACAATTAGGCGTTTGCCAATTGTTGCTCGCTAGTCTTCCAGCTAATTGGTGAGCCGGTGGGGGGTTGAGGGGGGCGGTCTGCTCTGTGAGGCAGAAGCAAACTGCAGCTCAGAGGAGGATCTTTGCCTTGAAGGCGGAGCTAGAGCCACCTAAGCGTTTTGCACAGCCGAACGGTTGCCATGGGAGATTAAAGGATGCATGAAAGAATCAAGGCGACACTCCAGGTGTGTTTCTGATGAGGGAACAACATTAATAGATTTTACTTAACACTGCCCCTTTAAAACATCTCAAAATGTGAACATGTTGAGCTGAAAATTGTTATTTCGAACATGATAGAAACATAAAATCACACATGAACAAGGAATGCAAAAGACATGTTTGTACAATAATCTTAACATGCTCGAAAAGGAGTAGGAAGAAGTAAGAAACTAATCAACTCCTACCCCATAAACTCACAATATTTTCAGATGGACCCCCATTATTAAAACAATATATATATTTAAAAAATGTAACTTAATTTTATTTACTAGATTCTCAGGGTAAAAAAACCCAATTTCATAAACAATAGTTCATAGATGTCACCTGCAAACTAATTCTAATAATCATGTCCATCATGAATGTGATAAAGTTTCTCTCCAGAAAAAAAAAATGTTTATTGCTTTTGTATTTGAAAGTTTTTCACTTGAGAACAATATGTGACAGTGTCACATGTTACCTTAGACTGAAGAGAACATTTGTAAAGTTAAATGTGACATGCTTATGTGAAAGAGTGCAGCGGCAGTGTGTTAGTCTGGAAACATTTTTTTTTTTTTTTTTATAGACAGGGAGATAAGGATCAGACTTCAGGAAGATAGGAACCAAAGCCCAGGGTTTGTCCTTCTTCGGTATGTGAAGGACAGCTGATATTGATTCTGCTGGCCTGATTATGTGGCAGCATACAGTAAGATTTATAGAACTGACCAAGACCTATTTTAAAATGTTATTTCTATGACACAGAGATTTATGAAACATTTAATAATCTCTAAATCCTCTGGCCAAACTAACAATGTTGTTGAAATTGTCTTTAAACACGGAGGAGCACTGTATTGATTTCATTTCTCCTGTCGGTTGTTTGGCCAAGCTATGCTGTTCAGCCGAAAGGTCAAATTTACAGAAAAGCCCCAGTTAATAATAATAATAATAATAATAATAATAATAGTTCAGTTCACCGAAGAATGAACTCGTTCACTTTCTACAGCTGGGAAAATAAGTTTTGAACACCTGAACATTTTTCTGAGTTTAAATATCTCTAATGGGACGACGGCCATGAAATTCACAGTGTCTGTTAGCAACAAACCAAAGTGAACAAGACGAAATGTACTTTTTGTCACCTGAAGAGCCCAGATTTAAAAGTCTAATTCTTAATATTTATTTTATTTTTAGGATTAAATAAATAAATAAATAAATAAATAAATAAATAAATAATTTAGTCAAATGCTTTAGAAAACAAGACAAATTAGAAATTTTGGGTGAAAGTCATTTCTTTAAAATAAAACCCAGAATCTGTTTAAAAATTATAGTGAACTTTTTTTTTCTTTTTCAGTTTTTAATTGTCTGTTAGAGATCAGGGTTTTGTTTGTACAGCACTTTAGGAAACCTGCTAATTTTAAAGTGCTTTATATATAAACTGGATATAGAAAATCTAAAGTCAGACCAATTAAATTAAATGATCTGAAATGTTAATTCGGTAACAATATGTGTAAGATGTCCAAGAGAAAAATTAGAAATGGCAACGTATTACATTCCTGCTTCTCTTCATGACCTGACTGTATCTCCATCTAAAATAAAATTTAATCTCTTACTTTGTATAGTTAGAATAAACTCAGTTTTAAAAAAATAAAAAATTATTTACCAAATGGGAGAGAATTACTTCTCTCTTTTTTTCACATTTTCTCCAACTCATTCCAGGGGTTAGGGTCAGCTGACAAACTTTTGGAATGAGTTTGAAGATAAAGTTACTGGGGCAAAAACTGGAGCGATTACTGGGAAGGTTGAGAAGTGTGTGAAGGCAGGGAGGAGTTTTGCCAATGATCATCTTATAAATAAACTGAAATAAAACGCAGCGTCCTGTGGGGACGGAGTGATGGCCGGCTGACAGGCGAGTGCAGATTACAGTGAGACCACCTGAGGCAAAACAGACTGCAGTATAACAGGCGACATCCAGTTCCTGTGGATATTGTCTGTGATCTAAAACAGACGGTTTTACCGTCGTGTAGGGTAAGAGTGAAAAATATTGTGACAATACAAAAAATTAACTATTGATGGGATTTTACAAAGTACTGAATTAATGTGAGTGTCAAAGGACAGGAGCTAGGTATTTTTATGAACTGATAGGTTTCAATGCCGTATCATTCAGAGTGGATATTCAGAGGACAGTGTGAGGTTAGTGATGGTTAAAAATCATTTGTCTGGTTTGACGTTTGTTTCATAAAAGATTGGAGAAGACGTGTTGAAAACTGCATTGTAAGAAACTCAATGGAACTGTAAGGATTTGACTAGAACGTACAGAACAGTGTTATCAGCATAGAAATGATTAAAATTTCAGATTGGGTTGACCTGGGAACGCTCAAAGTCAATATCATAGGGTCAGACTGGACAGTGAAAGTCTCCAAATGACCAAAGATTAAATCACACTGTGCATTTCTTTAAAAGAACAATTATTTTAAGCAGGCTCATTTAGGTCAGGAGTGTCCAACTCCAGTCCTTCAAGATTTAAGATGTGTCCTTGATCAGACATCTCCATAGAGATCTGGCAATGAACCAAATGACTCGGGTGTGTTGACCCAGGGTGACCTCTAACACATGTTTAACATGTTGAACCCTTAAGGCCAGACTTTGAACACCACTGCTTTGGGTATTTCTGCAATACAGTCAAAGCCTGGCTCTGAAGCCAGACTGCATAGGGCTAACACTATTGTAATATTCTATAGAGCGACTTCACTGTTTAACTAATTTTGCAAGAGGTATGGCTAAATAGAGGCAGGTCTGTGTCTGTATTGGTTTAATATGTCATATCACTGAAATGAGGGTGAACAGCCACAGATTTCCAATAATGGGGAAGTTACAAGTTTGTAGGGAGGGTTAAATAGATCAGTGGCAGGTGTGATGTCATTTACTGCTAACCTCAGAAAGAAAGCATCTAGACCAGAGGTCTTCAACTCTGGTCCTTGAGATCTACTGTCCTGCAGGTTTTGGACCTGCACCCACAGCAGTTCAAAATAGAAGTGAGACTTGCGTATAGGGAGGGCATTGGTATGTAGAGTTGACTCATTCACCTGACAGCAGCAGCTAAACCATGTGAAAATTGTTNTTTTGGACAGAATCACAGAGGCGGTCTAAGGTTGTCAGCTGATAGCAAGGGCATAAATCCCAGAGGTGGGGGGGGGGTCCGGACCCCCCCAATCTTGGAAAAGTCTAGAATTGTCTCCCCAAAGAAATCATTAAAGAAACCCTCGTATTTAAACAATATCAATATAAAAAAAGGCAATAGAAACAAAGAACAAAGTAAATCTGCCATTCATCTAAGAACAAAATAAGAATTGATTTTTAGGTCCCCCCCCACCATTGTTAGAACAATGGTTCAGTCCATAGTGTAGGAGGAGCAACAGCTAACAGAGGCTCTGTTAGAGTTAAAGCGATTTTTTTTATTTATCATTTTCCTAAAAACAACCTGATCTTACCAAGAACAGTTTCTGATCTCACATACTCACATTGTTCACTTTGCTTTTCTTGGTCTTGTTCTTTGTTGCCGATATGCTGCCGACTGCTGCAGCTCCTTCCAGCTCATCTGCCTCAAACTCAAACTCCACAGTGATCTTCCTCTTCTTGGTGTTGGCTGCAGTGCTGATCAGCTCAGCTTCCACTGCCGACTGCTCTGGGTCTGCACCGCCGCCGTCAGCTGACAGCTTCACACACTTCTTGCGTTTCTGCATGCGTTGCAGGCTTCCAGCTGTGATCTGAGGGCTGCCAGCCCCCTCCCCTCCTTTGTGCCGGTTCTTCCCGTTTGCTGCTGGTGGTGACTCTCCAGTGACAGTCTTTTTCATCTTCTGACTCTTCTTCTTGGCTGATGTGGCAGCGTCTGTCGTCTTGAGTTTAGGCGTTAAATCGTCTCCTGATGCTTCATCACAGCCGGTTTGTTTAGCCTCCGTTGCTGTGGTAACGTCATTCCTCTGCAGGTCCCAGGCAGGCTGCTTGTTGCTCCTGCCAGGAGCCGCAGCAGTAACCTTGGCTGAGGCTTCCTGACCTTCCCCTGCTGAAGTGGACCTCTCTGTTTCAGCCTCAGTTTTCAGGATCTTCCTTTTCTTCTTCTTCTTCTTGTTCCCAGAGAGCACAGCTGGTGCTTCAGAGGGCGTGTCTGATGTAGCAGAGGTCAGCTGCTGCTTTCTGTCCGTCACCGTGGGATCAGAGTCATTGGTGGGGGGAAGTGGCTGCAGCTGAGTTTCTAATGGAGCCTCTGAAGTGGAACATGGACTTTGTTCTACTGAATCTTCTGAACATCCTGCAGGTTTTGAGTCGGCATTGTGATTCTGTGTTTTCTTCTTTTTCTTCTTCTTCTTTTTGTTATTAACAGGTGCATTTGCAGCTTCTATGTTGTTACTCTGCCTGTCGAGTGTTTCCTGGTATTTCCCTGCAGAAGCAGAAACAGAATGGCTTTATGGCCTGGAAGTCCTGAAGCGAAGAACAGTGCAATCTAAATAACATCGCAATTAAAACTGGGGCTACTTGTCTTTTTCATTTACCAACTCAAGATTCCTTGACCTGATGGTACCAGCTTGCTTCTAATCTGCTCTTAGCTGTGCCATCATGAAAAGCTCCAGGCTAGAGGCGCTTTTCCACTGGTAAATTGCTCTCTAACCAGTTAACGTGCAGTTTGACTCTAACCCAGGTAGAAGAGTGTGTGTGTGTGTGTGATCAACTCTCTGCTGATGTTTGCAGCAACACTCACCAATGGAGAACCTCCAGGTTCTGGTTCTGATGGACTCAAATAAACCCAGATATTTCATTTTGTCTTACAGAAATTCATTGCTGGTTCAAACATAATTATAAAGACTCAAATCAGCTGATTATTTCACTATACATATATAAATATAACTACTTTCTGGCACTGTGTTTTAAATATGCAACCCTTTGGATTTAGTTGCAGTCAAACCAATATCCACACCTGAACTTTATTTAAAAAAAACAATGGAAAACTAGAATTCACATCACAAGTTAATTGTGACGTTTCCCTCCACTTTACATGGACGGATCCGTCATTTTACTAATTGCTCTTTGTCCCGAGGCGCACCGGGAGGGGCGGCACCAGGATCAGTGACGGCCCGGCGTGTCTTGGCTGCTCCATGGTGCCGAGGGGAAGGAGAGAGAAGGGACTGGAGGAGCGGTGAGCTGACTTCTCCACCTGGCTCCACTTTTCAGACTGGCTCTTGTCTGTCTTGTTTCCTCACCCACTTTGGTTTTACTTTGCTTTTGCAGGACTCCCCTGCTCACAGCACCAGCTGCAGTGTTTCCTGCTTTATTTTAGGTTTGATGCTCAATAAAGAGCTTATTGATTGTTGAAACCCGTGTCTCCTTGGTTTTTGTTGAGGCTCAACGATCCAGGGTCGTAACATAATATTATGTGGTTCTGGTGTTTTACACTGTTGGCTGGACTGCAGCTCGGACAGAAAGCCGACCACAGCTGAACCGTTTTTCTGTTTCTAGCTCTGTGTTCTTCAGAGAGATGAGCCGCTAGCAGCGCCGCTAAATCACAGTCATCCTCCTCCTGTGCTGCTCCTGATTCAACTCATCATTGCTCCTCTGATAGCAGACAGCAGCTCTGCGGTCCACAGCTGACCTTTAATGTTTGAGGTTTTCATTGATGTAAATCACGAGCCAATCAGCGAATGCGGTCAGCTGTCAATCAAATCACTTCAGTGCCACTCGTACACAGTCACAATGGGTTACCATAGAAACGTCTGGCGGCCCCAGCAGTCAGGAATCTCTGAAATAGGTGAGCTTAAAGAGAAAGCGTCAACACTACACTGTAACATGTTGTGTAGATTGGTTTGTTTTAGCTACATTTCATGACATTTAAAGTAATTTTGTGAATATCAATGATTTGGATTTACACCAGGAACCAAAACACCAAGACAGCATCATGTGAGACTTTTAGACAGAGAAATTAACCTGCGTCAGCTTTGCTCTTCTTCCCTGCTGGTTTCCCTTTCTCCTCGTCATCCTCATTGCGAGCCGGTCGCTTCATCCTCTTCCTGCTCCCAAACATGTCGTCGTCCTCATCTGTGGAAACCTCCTCTGGATATTCATCCTGTGGGAATATGCCTGAGAGGGAAGCGAAGAGTCAGACGGTGTTTGACGCAAGCAGGATGTTCGCGTCAAACACTGCTCTGACTCGTACCTTCACTGAGATCACGCAGCCTGAACGGAAAAAAGAAAACACAACAAATTTGAATCAGCAAACATTAGCGCTATTTGAACAAATACCTTTCAACAAGCTGACAAAACCTGATCACTGCCTGCTCCGGTTGCGTTCTGCGCTTCTACTCACACTTTGATGACTCTGTAGAGTTTGTGTCGGTTATGTCCGGGTGTGTTGCTGCGACTCGCCAGCTCAAACAACTTGTCTGCCAGAGCAGCATAGTCGAACTGAAACACACATTGCAGACCATGAATCACAGCAACCACTAAGAAACCAAGATTAACAATAAGAGACGGCGTTTGTTCACATCACTGGGGGCTATGTATGGGCTAAATGTATATGTTATTTTAGTGCTGTGCTGCACAGCAAAGGGAAAACCCGTTGAAGTATGGTACATCTCAAAACCACATTTTTCTCGCTCTCTGTATCGGCCAGAGAGGACAAGAGGGCTCTCTAACTGCTTCAACAGCCTTTCTATGCACACATTCAAAGAATAAAAGGAGTGATCTCTAAACAGACAGACGTGCTTACCTGCAGAACCGGTCCAAAGTCTGCATCTGACAGCTCAGAGTCGGCGTCCTCCATGTGAAGCAGCTCCTCATCACTTTCTTCTCCTGCTTTCAAACGACTCCCTGCGAGCAAAGAGTCCAGGTGCCACAGTGAACTTTAGTAAAACACCAGTCCAGGTTAGAGGTGGGAGCTGCTGAGTCAGGATGCACCGTTCATCAGCCTCCCCTCTCTGCTCTTACCGACTGCGCTTCTCCTCTCATCTTCCTCCTGTTCGTCATCTTCCTCAGATTCCTGCCCTGAATCAGACTCCTGCGCCATTTTCACCTCCTTCATAAGGTCCCCCACAGCAAAAGGAGCCTGTTCAATGATGGTGCTGAAGAGGCTTTTGCAAATAGCGCTGAAAAGCGCATGGCTGGAGAGACAAACAGGAAAGCTGTCAGGAAAGGAGGACGGAGCCGAGCAACTCTAAATGAATTCTTCATCCTGAGCACATGGAGGAAAACTTACTTCTTGGTTTTGGCTGCTTTCCTGCAGAACGGCTCTATGAAAATCAGGTTCTGATCAGCAGTGAGCTGCAGGAAAAAGCAGAGTCTGATTAGCAAGCCACATCCACAAGAGTCCAGCACCAATATCATTTCTCACGATCCAAATCTAAATCTTTATTACATTCCAGATTATGATCTAATTTTAAAAGCAGTACCGAATGTCCAGGGTTTCCCCCCATTGTGCTACAAACCTGGCAGACCAACAGAATTTACTTGGATTAATCAGAAGTGTAAAAATTGATATTGTATTTTTTTTTATTTGTTGTTTATAATACTCTATAGTTGTGGGCATAAATAGCATCTTAGCGTAACATATGGCAGTTTTCTGGGGGAAACTGCCATATGAAAGCATTTCCTATTACCTACATGCTGTTCATGCAAACAGCAGCTACATGTCTCCACCAGAGGATCTGAAGTTCCTCTGGCTTTAGGTTACAAATCCCTTAGTCGCCATGGTTACCAGTGGTGGTTCTATACCTCTTCAGCACCAACAGCTGCCAGTTCCGTCATGTAAAGGTCCAAGATGTGCAGCAGCAATCCCGACGGCGTCTCACTGTCCTTTTGCAGGAGATGACACTTCAGCAGCTCCAAAAACTTCCCGACCGCACTGAGAAAAGCAGTTATTTATTTTACACGCTGTCAGAGTTTGTAAATGGAAGTTTTTTTCCCCAGATCCTTTACCTGCTTTCCCAGTTTCTCCTCCTCAGGACGTCAAACGATTGTCGGAACATAAAACGAACCAGCTGGAGAGGGAACGTTAAACATTTAGAGAAGCAAACGCCTCCGTTTACAATGTTGCATATCTCTGCTGTACTGATAAAACAACTTAAGATGCAAAAGATCCAGCTAAGTTTTACATGTCCTCAATTTCAAATCATTCTCTCACCATTGACGAATCCTGATTATGGCCATATTTTAACAGAAAGACTTGAGTGTTACAAACATCTGTGAGTTTGTCAGTTTATTGTTCAAACTAATGGCAAAAGTGGCAAAAAAAAAAAAAAAAATCAAGGTCCTTTTTCATTACAAAAAAGAAAAGGATGAACTGCAGATGAGTTTACTGAAGTTAGATGTGATGAAGGAATCTGATCCAAACATCGATCAGTTCTGATCTTCGTGACCCATCCCCAACCCTAAGGCTGCACAGCTGGGATTATTATGTCACACTAAAGGAAGTAAAATATTATTTGCTAGGATTTTTTCCACAGAAAAAAATTAATTTAAAAAATTTACTAAGTGCTTTTAAAACATACAAGTAACGCACAAAAAACATCAAATTAAATCAAAAGCCTGTCTGTACAAACGCAGCTGCAAATGGGTTTCTAGATGCGTTTTAAAGCAATCCTTGGAATCGACAACTTAAAAACGATGAGAGCGCGCCGCAATCGGGGAGCAGCAGCCTGAAGCGGCCGATTACAACAAGTACTTTTTATGTGGGACTAACAAAGACACTGATCATCAAACCTCAGTGTTCGGCTGAGGTTTAAACACGTAACCAAGAAACGGTGAAGATATGTGAGCTTCCCTGTGTGTCCCTGTTAAAAGTCTATGCAGTTTGCATCACATCCAAGCTGTATTTGGATCCACACTTCAGGTGCAGCGATAATTTTGTGCTACTCCCCCGATCTGTCAGACCTTTGTTTATTTTTTTTTCCGACATCTGCTGGTGTCTGCCAACGGGAAACCACCCGATGACATGATCAATTGTGTCAAAAGCAGAGGTAAAGCAAGACTAAGAGTATGTAATCTCCTCAATCAGCTGCCATGAGAACGTCACTTGTGACTTAAAGTGTAAACTTAAAACTGCTTCTCAACTGAAAAGCAAAAGAAATACGTTTTTGTGAATGCACTCCACAAAAATCAGACTGAAAGATGTCAATACAACAGTTTTCTTCATTAATCAACAGAAATTATTTTCATATAGAAACAGTGAATCCCCCACGTGGGTTCTGGGTGAGTGGTCAGTAAGTGATCTCGGTTCTATTGCAAAGAGAACAAACCTGGTAGAACTTGTCCATCCGCAGCCGGTCGATCCCAGTCCACTCTCGCTTCAGGGTCTGGAAGAAGCTCTCCAGGTACATGAGCTCTGCAGGGAAATCACCCGTTAGCCAGACAGCAGGTCTACGGTTCAGCTGTCAACACTGTGAAATGCTGCAGCAGAAACTCACGTTTATCCAGATCCTGGAAGCTGTGGATGAGGGTGGAGATCTGGTTGGACAGCTCCTCCTTAGGAAGCAACAGTGAAGATGAGCTAAATATGACTGGAGCAAGTAGAACCATGAGCTAATGAACTAAAACCAATACAATGATAGTATTAACTAGACTCTCACACAGTGGTTCGAATCCACTGGGTTTTGAAAGCTTCTGGGGTCCCAATTAACATTTGAGTTAAATGGGGGAAAACTGTAGATGCATTTTAAGGCAACACCTCAAACACACCGCTGTCTCGTGTGACATCACGACAGGCTGTGCTTCATCCATGGGTACAACTTCCAGAGGCCTGAGGCAGATGCTGTCATCTGTTTATGCATGTATTTACGGTACAGCACTGTACGGATGTCCGGTCCTTGTACCGTTTATGAGGGAGAATGAAGCCGAGTTATGTGGATCAACCCCAGAATAAACACTGAGGAAAACACTCTCCAGCATATTGAGAAATAAATCAGAATCATATCTCAATAAGCTTTAAGATGAAACCTGAAGGGACGTCACTAGGAAATTAACCTGACACACACACACACACACACCTGTAGCAGAGGCTTGTCCTGCATCCACAGGCAGTAGAAGAGGCCCTTCCACAACTTGAGGAGTTCATCTCCCGTGAATCCACCTGGAAAGCAGACACAGCATCACTTAACCCAGAGATCAGAAGCAACAGCTCAGTGTGAATTGTGACATTAACTGATGCTCTTCGAAATCCGTGACTCAAGATAATCCTATCAAGTGTAGACCAAGGTGCCCAACTCTGTCCCCCAACTTTTAGATGCATCCCTGTTCCAACACGCCTGAATAAATTGTCGAATTCCTTTATAGTTCAGTTCTTCAGAACCATTCATTTTTGGTTCTGTAGGCTGGAGAGGAGAAGCAGCTAAGAGTTTCAGGATAGCAGCTCTGGTGGACTGGACCAGGGTAAAGACACATTAGCTAGGCTAAGACTTGTTTTATCACCAGGAAGAGCCCGAGCTCATGGTCATTGTTTCTAAAATCTGATCGTTACCCTGTGGGGACTGCGGGGCCCCTGTCTGTCTTTGGCTCCCTCCGTATGAGAGCCCGCGGGGCCCGTCCACACGGAGAACGGGACCCGGGGCTGGGGACGTCCAGTTCAGTTAGCCTACCTGCGGCTCTCAGTGAGCGGGCGCTGATGTATTTCCGTAGTTTCTTCATCGCCTTGGTCCGGACGGTCCTCTCGTTGGAGGCTAACCTCTGGGCCAGTTGGATCTCCGGATCCTGAACCGTTGCCATGCTCTCACGTGGATTATTCTCTCTCTTCACACGTTTTCTTGCGGCGCGAGACGATGACGTTCTTCTTCTGGTTCTTCTTCTTTTCTATTACGGCGGCTCGCAAGCAACTTTGAGGTGTATACCGCCACCTACTGTACATGGGTGTGAGCAACACCACTTAATCAGCCATTTCTGCCTGCCATGACTTGTAGCAACCCTCCTCAAAGCTCCTGTGAGATGAGATTGTGCAGAAATAGGAATATAGCATGAAATTATGAAATTGACAGTGTTATTTTACTTTATCTCACCAAAACTAAGAGAAATATCCTTTTTTTTAGAGAAGGATGCAGATATTTTATAACATGTAAAATGAGCATGGTCATTTAATCATGGACTGTTTTTTTTTTAAATAACAGCTACCTCACCTCTGATCATTTTTCTCTTTCTGAGTGAGCATTTGTTTGGTTTAATTGTGATTTTAGTTTAGGATATTTTTGTTTTGAATTTTTTGGAGCAATGCCATGCAGTAGCACAAATGTGCCGCTAGATGGCAGAAGTGAAACATTATGGGACTGACGGTGCAACAATTCTGTGTCGAAAAAGCTCCCCTCCATTCAGATTATCCTCTGCAGAAGCAAACAGATGTTGGGGTGGAAAACAGAATGAGTGCAGGGTTAAACCAAACAAAAGGAAATAAATGTATGTGGATTTAAAAAAGCTAGTAATATTCATACCAGGGGTTATAAAAGCAACAATGGAAATTAAGTCAAAAGCAGAAAGGATATATAACATATATAGCAGTGGTCCCCAACCTTTTTATTACCGCGGACCGGTCACGACTTGGAAATATTGGAAATTTACAGTAATCATACTAAATCTACAGCTTTAATACTGATGTGTGTTCTGATATGTCCTCTTAAAGGCAAACCGACGTATGAAATGGATGAGCTCCATCCTGACTGGGGTCCAGCGCTGAATGTGGGTCACTGCGAGGTAAACGCCACAACATCGGACCGACATGGGCGTCAATTAAAGAGGCGATACAGCAAAACCATCAACAGGTTACTGAGACTGATTTCATTATTTACCCCAGAAGAGGTAAATAATGAAAACAGAGTAGCAGAGGCAACAGAAGAGGAGCAAGTTGGAGAGGCTGAGGAGGAAGAAACCAGGAGAGGAGCTCAGGAAGGCTGCAGACCCTGAAGAGGAACAGGAACCATTTGTGTTGAAATACAGTTGGAAGTGGCTGTTCTCTCATTTAATAATTTAATGTATTAAACATCCATGAATCTTTTGATTCAAGCACTTCAAGTTGCATGTAAACGTGAAGAAATGAATCACATTTTAAGTAACAATTTGATATTTAAATATTCAGGTAATAAACATACATGTAATGAGATTATATTTTTAAATATTTTATGTGATTAAAGTAAACAATTATATAATCAGACATCTGTCAAGACACTGGGTTTTTGGGTTTGTTTTGCTTTTCATTTTATTAACTTTGTGTTTCAATTCACTTTAGTGGTTCATGGTATTTAGTGTAGTTAGAATAATATTATTGCTTTTCCTTGTTTGTCTGAGTCCATGTCAAGCCTTCTTTAATGACTATTCTAGTTATTTCTTATTTCAGCCTCCCTGCAGGGTTTCTAGTAATGTTTATTTCTTAATTTGATCACCATAGGTTCAGTTATTGTTCCATGTCTGTATCTTTCTTTAGTCATTCTAGTTGGGTTATTTCTTTGTTTAGATCTTCTAGTTTCTCTTGCTCTGTGTTCCTTAGTTCTTATTGTTAGATCAGCCTTGTTTCTACATCCACATAAAGTAAGTCCACTGCCTGCTGCATTTGTGTCCACCGCCACATCATGACACAAACCAGATGAAAGAGCCCATCTTTAAACATTTAATGTGTAATTAAACAATAAAGGTGACAAATTTTATGAAATAGACCACACTTTAATAAATATTTGTTGTATTTAACATATTTCAGGTAAGTGAACATGTAATGACATAGATCCTGGCCTAGAATTTTATGCAATTGAACATTACGGGTAACAAGTGATGATCATCTGAGGTAATACATTTTATGAATTTTCTTTTTTTTTAATATAATTCTGGTTAAAAAATAAAAAAGGGGTCAAAATGGAATAAAAATATGCCTAATCTATATAGTTTAATAGAATAATTGTACACAGATTTTGAGTTAATAGGTTACATGACCTACAAGCTAAGAAAAATAAAAAATTTTGACTGCAGAAATAGCTAAAAAATATATAAAAGGTGTTCAAATGTAATAAAGGTGAGTGTGCCTCATCTATACAATCTAGTAGAACAATTTCAAGCAGATTGAGTTAATGGGACACAATTTGGAAGCTACTGAAGAAAACATTTAATATTAAAATTATTGAATATGACTTAAAATTTTAATAGAGGATAGTGTGCCTCGTGTAATAGCATGAATGTCCACTTTTTGGTATCAGTTGGTCACAAGACAAAGCATTTATGCACAGGAGTGTTCGGAAATTGACAGCAGCAATGTGAAACTCCGAGCGCTTGTGGAGAGACTTAAGAACAGCTGGCCGAAATTAGCGTTCATAAATCGGATCAACCTTGAGCTGAACGTCTCTTACTCCGTGGAGCTCGGTTTATCCAGTATCCAACTTGAAAACAACTTTACTGCGGTTGGTAACACAATGAAAACACCGGTGTTCTGAATAGTTTGTTTCGGTCTGTGGACCCCAGACATGGCGCCGAGCGACGAAAACGTCATATCCTGTGACGTCAACTCCAAAGCTACAGCTGATCCGCTGAAGCTAACAGCTGCTCTTGTCAACAGAAATTCAACGGCTTATCAGCAGAGGAGCTAACTGTTGCTAACTGTCGCTCTTCGTTGGCAACAGGCTTTTTTTTTGTTTTGTTTTGTTTTGTTTTGTTTTGTTTGTTGTTTTCGTTCGGCTGGGATCTGGACTAAGGAGTCTCGGATCGTCACTGAACTGAATCTTCCTAAAGAGTCTTGGATCGTCACTGAATTGGATCTTCCTAAAGAGTCTTGGATCGTCACTGAATTGGATCTTCCTAAGGAGAACGAGATGGCGAGCCAACCCCGGAGCTTAAAGACCATCAAGTAGGAGCTACGCCTCCTGCTGGACATTGCCAACCTCGCAACTTGGTATGACCTGCCTATGTTGTCGTGCGTATTAGCAGTGGGTCACTGAAACAGAATTAACTGTTGGATCATCGGAAGAAACAAGACATCAATCTGAAGCACAGTTTGATCTGTCCTTGCTGAATTGTTCTGCTGTGTTGTTGTTTTGCTGTTATTGTTTTTTTTTCTTTTAATTCCTTAAGGGAAACACCAAATAACTAAAAATAGATTAAACAGATTAAAACAAACTGTAAATCAAAATAGATAAATAGTATTAACTAGAACTTAAGTAGAACTAAATAGTATTAACTAGAACTTAAATAGAACTATAACCTAGGTAAAATAAATAGTATCCTTAATTTAGATTTATAAAATACACTGAAAGAAACTGGAAACTATTTTTCTTTGGGATTTTGTGTCATTGTGTGTTAATTGTGTAACATTGT